GAAGGGAGGGCAGGGACAAGGGGAGAAAATGAGAACCAAGACCTGTCATGCACAGGTACAAGATCCCAACAATGAATGTAACTGTACCATATCCCTAAAATGTATCAATAAACTCAACTAAAGCTGAAAAAAAAGTAAATAAAATCACATCACTATCTGAAGTTAAATGATTTCTCATTTATGATGTTTTTGCTTCCTGCATTGGAATACAAAGTCCGAAGGAGAGGAGATTTGAATATTGCTCACCACTGTAGCCCTAGCACCTAGAATGTGGCAACACTCAGCAAGCCTTGGGGACACCAAACCCCACGGGCCCCCCCTTTTAGCTTATTGGTTAAGCAATGCTCTCCCACCCTCATCCTCCCTGGCCATCCTTTGGACACATGTAGCCATTAACACACTCCTATGAATCCATCTCCGTTCTCCAGGAGCCTCTTAAAAATCTAAGAGCTGGAGTTCTGCCCCAACCTATGGGTAAGCTCCACAGGCATCTACTTCTTCATGGCTCAGGGCTCAGAGAGGGCTCTGTGGTCACCTAAGGCAGGGGAGTCCCAGGGTTGGGGTGGGGGGGAAGAGATCAATTAGAAGAAGAGACAAATTTAGCAGCCTCCTCTTTTGGCTGTCAAGGACAACAGGTCTGTGGTCTGATCCCTGCCTCAAACAAATGGGGAGAAGCTGAAAAGCAGTGGGGAGCCAGGAGAGCTAGAGCAATGCGTGCTCCAAGAAGATGCCTCCCGTTGCTAAGCAACCACTGTACACAGGCAGTTACTATTAGAAAGTTAATCATGGAAAATGCTGAGGTCTCTTTCCCAGCCCTGCATCTATCTCTCGGCTTCTCACTACAATTTCACCTTCCGTATAATGTTACCAGACAGTGCAATTGGCCCCATCTACTCTCTTGTCCCAGGCCGTTATGACCTTTCTGTCCCCTTAGGGCCGCACACCGCGTCAGCCCCACAGAACTGTTCGGCACGTTGGCTCTGGCCTGCGCCTGCCTGGGCCAAGCACACTGACATTTTCCATGTGGCCACACCAACCAGCCAAACACTGGGGGTGGTGGGGAGACAACTTGATACATCACCCAGACTTGCTTCCACGAAGAGAAACACAGCTCCGACCCCACCTTGGCAGTAGATGATACCCACACACCATCTCTACCCAGAGATGCCAAGCCGAGCAAAACCTGTTCTCCATCCTTGTTTTCGGGCGCGGGTTATTTCCCACCTCACTCTTGCAAAGACAGCCAGAGCAGCAGTCCTGTTTAAGGCCAGCCTCATAAAAGGCTTAGTGCCTACTTGTCAGTCAACACCGCAGGGAGCAGATAATTGATTTGTTTTGTTTTTTTATGATTATTTGCGGGCTCTGGTTCCCTTTCCATTAGCCTGGATAATCAAGGAGAGGCTGTGAGAGAGAATTCATATCATGACCAAGGTCAGGATGCTGGCTGCTACCACCTCTCAACCCCAAGGCTGAATTACTATGGCTTTTATTATTAATAACAGGAACGATAAATACTACAAGCTATTATAAAGCAAAAGAATTCTCCAACTACCTCAACAGCTAAGACCTTTCTTGGAGCAACAGAGAATGGAAAAAAATGTTCTAAAGCTGAAGCTAGGAATCTCCTGGCAGTGGAAGTACCCTAGGTTTGGCGGTGCTGGAAATGAGAAAGGGCCCCGTGTGAGGGTGGATGGTGTGAGGTCAGGGCTGGCTCGGGTCTGGTTCCTGGCCCTCCGGCTGTGTGCCCTGGAGAGTCACTTTATATGGCAGGTCCTCCCATTGCATGAGGCTAGGAAGGACTCGACGCAGCACACTCTGGGGCCTGGGACCGCGCCCGGCACGAAGCAGCACTCTGAATATCAGCTGCCCTTATTCTCCTTATTATTAATGCCCGCAACTGGAAGAGGAATGATGTGATTTCATTTAATCCCCAAACCAACTCTGGAATAGAGAGGAGAAGGACAGGTCCCATCGGCCCCTCCTGTGTCCACCAGGCACCCACAGGAGGCCACTGGCCATGCCACACCATCTGCCTGCCTCACCTCACCTCATCCCCACTTTAGAGGAACACCCTAGGAAGTGTCAAGAGACTCCGTCTGGGAAAGGTGCGGAGAAGAGGCCGAGCTGCCTCTTAACACATGAAGTCACACGGTGGCTTGAGCAGCATTTTCTCCCAACAACCCCAGCCTTAAGAAGACACCAAAATCCCAAAATTTCAGCAGTAGAAAAATCTTCCAAACTTCTCCATTTAGTTATTCCCCCAATTTCCAACAGCTTTACTCCTCAGTCATGTGCTCAACAAATTTACAGAGCATCTAATATGCGCCAGGCCCTAAGATAGGACATATAAAAAGGCAACAGCATACAAAGAGCAGGGGGATGATGACTCTCCAATGAGAACAGCACATGCAAAGGCCCTGTGGTATATAAGCGCATGATATGTTCACTGTGGACAAGGTTCTAGGAGTAATCAAGGACAGGTGGAAATCCTTCTGTCACCCTCATCCAAGAGCAACATTTAAAGAGCCACAGGAGGGACCATGACCCACTCAGGAAACCTCTTTGAGCCCATCTTCTATCTGGTACTTCCTATTCCTCTAGTTTCCTCAGTTTCCATCCTGGTGCCTGATTCCTGGGAACAGCAAAGCACAATACTACAACTGTGCACACCAGTGCCAGGAAGCCCCAGCTCTGCCACCTACTGCTCTGGCGGTTGGGACAGGTGATGCGATCCTCTATGCTTCAGTTTCCTCATCTGTAAAACTTGGATACCAGTTGTGGATACTTCTGTTGGCTATAGTAAGGACTAAGGATATGAGGCTCTTCACTCCAGCCCTGGCTCCCCAGAAGCACCCACCAGTGTGATGTCACTGTCACCTGCTGTAAGTGCCGTCATCTTGTTATTAGAGTCCCTCTCTACCGGCCCACTGGATGTGACCACTGGCTGGACAGATAACCCCGTCCCTCGCCCGCATCCACCCACATGGCACCCTCCGACACGGTGGTGGTGGTCACCAGCCGTGCTCCACAACAACCCTCACTCTGAACAGTGACTTCTGGGGACCCAGGAGGAACCCAAGTGTCCTGAAGGCTCCACCTCCAGCACCTCTGGGGGTCCAGGTCAAAATGCAGGGTCTCTGGGACTCCACAGGGGCCTCCGTGCCGTGCCTGCAATGTGCTCCTCCTTCCCTAACCCAACTTTCTCCAAAATGCCCCAAATATTTCACTCCATCACCCCAGCTGGCCCCCAAATCCTCAGTAGTTTCAGCACTGAGTGAGTAACTGCAGGACAGCATGCTAACTTGAACACAGGCCCACAAAGGCAGCCTGAAGCAGCTTCCCGGTGACAGCCCCTCACACCCCACACAGCTGTCACTGCCCAGGAGCGGGGACTGCAGGAGCTGGGCAGCTGTGGCGGGGGCACTTCCGGCGTTTGTCCCCCAAGAGCTGAGCTGCCACTTCCACCAGAAATGGATCCCAGGCCAGGCCATGGACAGGCTCAGTCAGGGCCCTGTGCCACACGGAAGGTAGGGTCTCCCATTCCAGTCAGCTTCATGTTTTCCACAGCAGAACCTCCTCCCGGGCACAGCGGGCCTCCTTTTCCTCCTGGCACATCAGAAGTGGATGCTCAGTCCTGAAGTGGCAGATAGGTGGCACTGCGCTTTGTTCTCTCTCTTCTTTCTTTGTTTCTTTCCCCTTCGGTACTGGGATTGAACCCAGGGCCTCCACAGGAGCTACAACCCGTACAGTGTTCCGAATCACCAACCACTGCCTCGGTTCGAGAGGTGAAAGGGAAGGCGCCATGCACAGAGCTGGAGGGGCACAGGGGTACTGAGTGACCTGAGTCTACCTCCTACCCCATTGGCTGTACCTGATGTCAGGGCATCATGGGCCACAAGAGCTCTGAGAGGCCAGAAGAGGAGGACCCTGGGGTCATGGAGGAAACGGTAGGCAGTGAGCTGGGAAGTCATCATCACCACCTCCTGCCTTATCCATTGATCCTCAGCCCTCAAGATCACCATCCAGAAATGAGCTGGTTTTCAGGAGGGCAGCTGCTGGGCTATCCTTTGTCTAGAGAATAGCTACCATGACTCAATTCTGTGGCCAACTTGCGCAGGTTTAAATAAGATGAAATCAACATTTTCTGGGCCTGGTGTAGATTTAATTGATGCAATTCGACACACATTTACAGGGGACCCATTGTGTTCTAGACGCTGATGTGAGTCTTCAGAACCTAGCAGCGAGAATGCAAAAAATGAGAACAAAACGAAGAGCTCTCCCCAGACGAGAACACACGTCTGGCCGTGGGTGTGTCCTCATGGGTTGGGGCTCATTCTCTTGTGGATGAGACTACTTAGCCTCCTTCTTCCTCGTGATCACCAGAGCGTCCAGGGTTAGAGAGGCAGTGGCTGATGGACGAAGTTACTGAATGAAAATGACAGGCCCAGCCAGCATTCTCCTGCCTTGGAGCCAGGCCCCAAGGCCCACTGGGCCCTCAGCTTGGGCCGGGGTACAGGATGCTTGGGGTAGCTGGGAACAAGTCACCACAGGTAAAGGGAGCGACAAGAATGGTCTCTAACCTCCGCCAAATCCTAGCATCCCAGGTCACCATGTGCACTCCAGATAAGTGGGGGGTCCCTTTGCTATTCACAAATTCAAGGGACAGCCAGATGCCACCCCTCCTGTCTGCTAGCAGAGCCCTGTTTTGCTCAGGTTTCTGCTGTGCTACACAGGCTTATGCTCCAGCCCATCCCAGGATGGCCCATCCTGTCTAGTCTACAACAACCAGTCCACCTGTCACCAACTGATCTGGAGACAGGTAAGTGACTGGTTCTAGCCAATCAATGTGACAAATGGGAGACCTGCTGGGGAGGCTCTGGTGACAAGTTTCTTCTCTATAAAGGCCTCACCAGAAGCAATGGTTGCTGCCCTGCCTCTGGACACTGCCATCTCTGGGTATGATGTCTGGAGCTGCTGCAGCTATCCTGCAACTCAGAGAAGAAGCAGAATTAGGATGAAGTAGTGACTAGGGACAGCAAAGTAAAGAAAGGGAAAGACCTCAAAAACATCACTGAACCACTGATTCCTGTACTCTAGAGCCCCTTTAACCCCATCTGTGTTCTACTTAGAGAGATATATTTCCTTCCTACTTGAGCCATTTTGGGTCAATATTTCACATTATTTGTAGTTAAAATCATCCAAACTAATGCATATGACCACCAACTGGAAAAGAATGCAAGTATTCTGAAGCACTCTTACACTAATGCCACTGTACACAGCTGAACTTTCCTTTAACCGGACGGAGTTTACCTTTGAAATAAATTTTGACATCCTTTCTTTCACATCAGCCAACAGCATCCTGATATTGACACTTGACAGTTGCTGGGATTCTAGACAAACATACAGGGCTCCAACATTCACACAGGAGGCAGCACATACTTGCCCTTCTCCATGGAGATATAAGAGGGGTCGCAAAGGCAATCAGAAGGGCAGAGGATCACGCTGGCACCTCTGGGTTGGTGTTGGAGGTTCGGAGATTCTCCAAGTACTTTTCATCCTGTTCTACCTATAAATAAAGACTTGCTTTCTCAATGAGCATGCTAGTTGAGATTTTGGCCAACTATGCGATGAGATCAATGTTACAGTGAATGCTCAAATTAAAAATAAAAATTTAGCCGGGCATGGTAGCACACGCCTGTAATCCCAGCACTCAGGAGGCTGAGGCAGAAGGATCACTGTAAGTTCAAGACCAGCCTGGGCTACATAGTGAGTTCCAGGTCAGTCTCAACTACATAGTAAGACCCTGTCTCAAAAAACAAAAAAATAATTAATTAACTAATTTAAATAAATAAAAACGTAAGGGCTGGAAAATACAACATACAGGAATCTATGGGACACAATGAAAGCACTTCTATGAGGGAAATTCATAGCAGCAAATGCTAAGAAAACAGAGCAAGCTCAAACAAACAATCTAATGCTTAACCTAAGCTTCTAGAAAAAGAAGTGCAAGGCAAACCAAAAGTTCATACAACGGAAGAAATTATAAAGATCAGAGCAGAAATTAATGCAATGGAGACTACGAGAACAATACAAAAATTAATGAATTGAAGAGTTAGTTTTTTGAAAGAATAAATAAAATAGATAAACCCTTAGCCAATCTTATCCAAATAAAAGGAAAGAAAAGGTTCAAATTCATGCAATTAGGAATGAAAAAGGTGAAGTCACAACATATTCAGTAGAAATCCAGAGGATCATCAATACCTATTTCGAGACCCTGTACTCTAGTAAGATGGAAAATACATAATGGACAGATTCCTAGATACATGTGAACTTCCAAAGTTGAATGAAGAAAATATAAAAAGTCTAAATATCCCAATTATGTTCAGTGAAATTGAAAATGTAATTAAAACATTACCAACAAAGAAAAGCCCAGGTTCTGATGGCTTCACTGCTCAATTCTAGACATTTAGAGAAGAACTATTACCACTACTCTTTAAACTCTTCAGTGAAATTGAAAGGGAAGCAATACTTCCAAATTTATTCCTGGAAGCAAGTATTACTTTGATTCCAAAACCAGGGAAAGACTCAACCAAAAAAGAGAAATACAGGCCAACCTCCCCAATGAACACAGATGCAAAAATCCTCAGTAAGACACTGGCAAACAGAATACAGAAGACCATCAAAAAGATCATACACCTTGACCAAGTCAGATTTATCCCAGGGATGCAAGGATGGTTCAACATATGTAAATCAATAAATATAATACACTATATTAACAGAGTCAAGGACAAAAACCATATGATCATCTCAATAGATGCAGTAAAAGCATTCGACAAAATTCAACACCAATTTATGATAAAAACCCTACAGAAAATTGGAATAGAGATGGTCTTTAGCTCAACCTGATAAAGGCTATCTATGAAAAACCAACAGCCAGTATCATTCTAAATGGTCAAAAACTGAAAACCTTCACTCTAAAATCAGGAACAAGACAAGGATGTCCAATATCATCACTAGTGTTCAATATAGTTCTAGACACATTAGCCACAGCAATTACACAAGAGAAAGAAATAAAAGGAATAAAGATAGGAAAGAAATAATTTAAACTGTCACTATTTGCCGATGATACGATACACTACATAGAAGACCCAAAAAGCTCTGCCAAAAGAGCTTTTAAGTCTTTTATACTTAATTGACAGATTCAGTAGAGTAGCTGGACACAAAGTCACCACTCAAAAATCAATGGCCTTCTTGTACACAAATAACAGGCTCACTGAGGGAGAAATTAGGGAAACAATTCATTTCACAATAACATCCAAAAAATGAAATATCTAGGAATCAATCTAATGAAGGACACAAAAGACCTCTACATGGAAAATTACAGCACTCTGAAAAATGAGATAGAAGAGTATATTTAAAGATGGAAGACCTCCCTTGCTCCCAGGTAGGAAGAATCAACATAGTGAAAATGGCCATACTACCAAAACTGCTATACAGATTCAATGCAATCCTGATTGAAATCCCAACAGTATATTTCACAGAAACAATCCAAAAATTCATTTGGAACCAGAAGAGACCTAGAATAGCAAAAACCATTCTAGACAACAGAGACATGGCAGTGGGTATCACAATTCCCAACTTGAAACTATACTACAAAGTCACTGGGATAAAAATAGCATGGTACTGGAAAAGAAACAGACCCAAAGATCAGTGGAGTAGATTAGAAGATACAGAAACAACACCAGACATACTCATCTGCCTCATCTTTGACAAAGGAGCCAACCATCCTCACTGGAGGAAAGATAGCCTCTTTAATAAATGGTGTTGGAGAAACTGGCTTTCAACTTGCCAAAGATTAAAACTAGATCCCTATCTTTCACCATGCACTAAGCTAAAATCCAAGAGGATTAAATATCTAAATATCAAAACAGAAACACTAAACTTAATGGAAAACAAATTAGGTAAAACTCTCGAAGACATTGGCATAGAAGACTTTATGAACAAATCCTCAGCAGCACAAGAACTTGCACCAAAAACTCAACAACTGTGATCTCATTGTATTAAAAAATTTTTGCAGTGCAAGAGAAACCAGCAACAGAGCTAAGAGACAACCTAAAATGTGGGGAAAAAATTTTACCAGCTACTCCTCGGACAAAGGACTATTACCTAGAATATATTAAAAAAAAAACAAAAAAAGTTTCAGACCCCTCAAAAATGGGCATCTGAAATGAACAGACATTTCTCAGACAAACAAGTAAAAGCAGCAATACATATATAAAAAAATGATGTTCAACATCACTGGTCATTCAAGAGATTCAGACAAAAACAACACTGAGATTCTACCTCACCCCAGAAAGAATGGCTGCTATCAAGAAATCAACCAATAACAAATGCTGGTGGGGCTGTGAGGAGAAAGGAATCCTTCTCCATTGTTGGTGGGAGTGCAGACTGGTGCAACCACTATGGAAATCAATATGGAGATACCTCAAAGAAGTAAGATTAGAGGTCCCATTTGACCCAGCTTTTCCTCTGCTGGGTATCTTCCCAAAAGAATTAAAAGAATCATACCACAGTAATATATGTTCACCCATGTTTATAGCAGCACAGTTTGTAATAGCTAAAACTTGGAAACAATCCAAATGCCCATCAACTGGAGACTGGATAAAGAAGATGTGGTTTTTCTATAAAATGGAGCACTACTCAGCCACAAAGAATGAGAAACTAGAAACATTTATAGCTAAATGGATACACATTGAGGATATACTCTTAAGTGAAATAAATAGGACACATTTGAGTAAATACCGAATAGTTTCTCTGGTGTGAAAAACTAAAAGTGTAAATAAGGTTCAAATGGTATAATTGAGAGTGTGAAATAGGAAGAAAATGGCTAATGGGGAAGTGGGAAGGGAAGGGGAAAGGAAATAAGGGAAAAGAAAAATGTGAAAAAAGGAAAAAAATGGAAACAAAGTCTTTGTAAATAGGGAAGGGTGAAGGGGGCAAAGGGAGGGCAGGGGTGTGGGGGAAAATAAGAACCAAGATCTGTCATGTAAAGGTACAAGATCCCAGTGATAAATGTACCTGTATTGTTTGCTTTAAAGGTACCAATAAACTTAATGGGGGAAAAAAAATTTAAGGGTGGGGAATTTAGCTCAGTGGCACCACCACCTGCCTCTCAAGTGCAAGCACCCAAGTTTGAACCCTGCACCGAAAAATAAAATGAAATAAAGTAAAAATGTATTACAGTGAAAGACGCATCGCACTCAACATCCTCCTCCGCACGTTGGATACACTAATCCCACCACTCTTGCCACTTTCTAAAGCAAGTCTGGCAGTCCATTTTGTGTCTTGAGGAGATGTGGTCAAACATACGACGAAAGCCGCTGCTAAGCACCACCCAGCAGAAAGTCAGGCTCGTCAAAGCACGACAGTACGTCCTCCTCGGTCTTAGTCACTGGTTCTGGCGCAGTGTGACTTCTGGCTCTTCCCCAAAGCCACAACAGAGCACCTGAAAACACTCAGACACAGGCTTCCTCCCTCAACCTCCTCTTTTTTCTCTTTCCCTCTTCCCCTTTCCTCCCTCTCATCTTTCTTCTTCCTCTCTTGAACTGAAGTAAAGAAATAAAGAATGACCAAGAGGGGAGCATGAAACGATGCTGCCCTAGGCAATAAAAAACACATCCCCCTATCGCACTGCCCTTCCCTTGGTGGAACTGTGTGCAAATATCGTAAACAGCTTTAGCAGGAAGTAATGCCCCACATACTGCTGGGGCACATCAAGCCCCTTTAAGACGAGGCCCACTGCTCGGTTCCATTCTAGGCCAGGGCTCCGGTTTCAAGACTGAGGTCAGTCCCCTTACGCCCTCATGCAGTATTAATACACCCCATAATCAGGGCCAGCTTCAGCAGGACAAGTTGGTTTGGGGCTCCCTGACCGTTTCTCCAGCAAGCTTTCCCCTTACATGGGTAGGCCATGCCCTTTGCCAAGGATCCCCACCTGCTCCACTCACGGGGACACACATAGGCCCTTCATCCAGCATGGAAGGTCCTCCAGGGGGTGCTCACACGGTGGACAGGAGGCCACTGTCCTATGGGCAGTCACAAGGGTGGGGAAGAAGGCACGCAGACAGCAGACAGAGCCCCTAACTCGGGATCAACTCTACAGAAGGCCTGGAGGTATCACAGGAAACCCCCACACCAGCAGTCCTGTGGTTCCCCCAATCTGCTCAACGGGGTCCTTCCCAACCATCATGCAGGTGTACACACATGGCAGTTCTCTCCACGGTCCTATGGCTAGGAGGAGCCAGAAGTCATTTCCATTTATGAAAAGAGAGAGGTGAGGTGGGGGAGCGGATACCAGGTGACAAAGAGCAGAAAGTTGGGATGGGGCTGAATGGTGCTCCCTTGCAGCCCTCGCCCCCAGGCTCCAGGCTGCACAACAGCCCCACCCACAATCTGGAGGCCTCAGCTCTGTCTGTGGTGTCGTCTGCGGGGACTCCTACCTGTGATGGCCACGGAGGGTGGGGAAACGCTGGGCTCTGTTGGCAGTCAGCCTGGGTTCAACTCCGCCCCACCACTCCCAGGCTGCCCAAATCTGTTCCTCCATCTCCTCCTCTAAAAGCTGGGACTAAGGTCAGTGCCTACCATCCAAATTGTACCCTCAGGACCCAGCAAATTCCTTAACAAGTTACAATCAAGCCAACCATATGATCTACCAATTCCAACCCATGTATATATCCAAAAGAATTAAAACAAGTATACAGAAAAAAAACCACTTGTATGCAAATGTTCACAAACACACTGTTCACAATAGCTAAAGGTAGAAACAACCAAAATGTCTAGCCATGGATGAGCAGAGAAGCAAAACCGGTTATGTCATGCAGTGGAAAATCATCGCACCTAGAAAGGAATGACGTACTGATAAGATGCTACAGTATGGGTGAACCTTGAAAACAGCATTTTTGGTGAAGGGCGGGGGTCAGCTCTAATTCACCTTTGTATGCCTAGACCACAGCACAGGACAATTACACAAATCAACAAATGAGTTGAAATTACTGACTAGAAATGAGAAACCATGAGGAAGGAAATAAAAATTACTACAAACAAGGGAGACTCGGTTCCTAGATAACCTAATGCTATACCCAACCCAAGGGCTCCTCAAGGAAAAGGACACCGAGTCCCAGGCAGACAGTGACCAGGCCAACACAAGGGACCAACATGAGCTTCTCTTGGGGACATTATGGCTTGAGGGGTGGCAGGTCCAGATCGAAGTTGAGAGGGGACATACTGGCCACAGCAGGCTCTGTCTCAGCTCCTTCATCCAGGAGCTGAGTGCAAGGCCATTTGCCCTGAGTCATCCACAGCTGCAGAGGTCAAGCCCATCCTACAGAGGAGGAAAGGTCAGCACCAAGCCCAGGTCACAATACGACTCAACACCTCTGGCACTATATGATTTTTAAATTTATATCTTCTTCCTCCCAGGGTCTACACGGTCAGCTTTCTGATTCTCTCACCAACATAATAAGGTTAGAGACACAAGCGATGCTAGGGAATAGGTGCCCCTGGTCCTGAGTTACACATCTAGGTCCTGCCTAAGAACTCACTTCAAAGGCCAAAGGGTCAGGCCATGATAGGAAGTTGGGCAAATGAGAGCCACACTCGGGAAACAGGAAAGATTTGTCCCAGCTATCCCATCATTTGTGTGTCTTCGAGCAAGTGTGGCGTTCTCTGAGGCCTTCTTAGAATTTCTTATTTATAAGATAAAATTGTTTTAAAAAACCATCAAAGTCTAACATAGAATAGATCATCACCAAAGATCTGTTCTAGCTTTAGGTCTCTAATGCAATCACAACTAACAACTGCCCCCAGAGGATGGAGAAACAAGGCCATCATGTCCATGACCAGCAGAAGGACTCAGGTACGTGTGCAGCATCATAGCCAGCCAGGCTGTGGGATGGGATACCCAAAGTTGAGCCCAAGCCTACCTTTCCTAGCACCCTACACAGTCCCTGCACCAGGAATGAACAAGGAAGGAAAGACGTACTGATTTTGCTTCTATCATGTATTCAATGAGATTTTCAGTGTCACACTGCTCAGAAGTTCCCAAAAGAGCCTGTCCTCTCCCGTCTTCCTGGTTTCTGCCTTGTCTACATGCCTTGCACTCATAAACACTGCATATTATCTTTTAAATCAACTTGAAACTGTCACACTTTTTTTAAAAATAGCATTGTCCTGGGCAATAATATCTGTGAAACCACAAGCTCTGATGTGCTAGATCTATTTTTTTCACAAGTGCACTCAAATCCACAACTATAATAAGAAATTCGTCTGTGTGCCTCCTCGCTGCCTCACATACCAACAGTCCTGAGCACCCCAAAACCCAGCAAAAGCCCACCTCATCTCTACCCCGACATCTTGGGTCAAAGGCATTACCCAACACCTTAGAAAAGATAACTTAGGCTCAGCGTTTAAGGCAGCGCCACCAAAGCACCACAGCTGGGCTGCAAATTGGGATGTGCCTTCTTCCAAACCCCAAGTCTTTGCTGCTCTCGCAGGCATCCAGCTTGGCTGCAGGCTACGAGGTGAATAAAAGTCAAGAGACTGTAAATAAGGCCCACGACCTTTATCACCTATTCGACTTAATCCTGTCCTAAGAACTTGACAGCAAGATTTTCCATGAGACTCTGAAGCAAAAGTAATTCCTGTATGCATAAGCAGAGCTGACAGTCAGCGAGCCAGAATGGAACGGGCAGAAAGGGAGCGCTGGGGATTCCTGGCCCACCCAGGCCTGCAAGGTTAGGGTTTATTCCTCATCCAGGCAATGCCGGGTTCAGGCTGCCTTGGCCCAGAGGCTACGCCACCCCTCCTGCTATCTCTCCACAAACATGCTGCTTAGTCACAGAGGACTCTGGCTATGTATGTGCATGACTCAGCACACATTCATCGGGCCTCCAGGGAAAACAACAGCAGCAAGAACGCAAGCGGTCAGCACCGTCACCTTGAACACAGGAGTGCTCTGGCCTTCACACACAGCCTTTTGAGAAAAGGGCTTCCATCCTAGCCTGGAACATCCAAGAACCAGGACGGGCAATGTTCAAGGCCATCTGGCCAACCTCACATAGGATAGCAAGGGAATATCAGAGGCAAGAAAAGAGGCAGCGAGGACTTCCCCAGCTAAGCCAGGCCAGAGGTGGAAAAAGTGTCTCCCACTCAGGCCATAGTCTAAGACCTGGAAAGACACAGCTCCCTGCGGAATCAGCAGCCACAGGTCCAGGGCTTCTCTCTGCCCAAGTGGCACTGATGAAATCATCAATTACAAAGCCATCCCTAAATTCGGGAATCAATAAAGTGTAAGTGGAGAGCCTAGTTGCCCATATGAATTCAACAACAAAGAAAAATGAAGAGGGAAACTACTCAGCTCATTATCCCTCACAAGCACAAGCAGTTTCCCCTGTAGCAAGTCAATATGCATCAGAAATAATCTGCTACAAAAGGCAGCAGTTGGGGGCGGGTGGGGGAGACCTGCACTGAATCATGCTTGGAGAGAGAAGAGGTTTGCTGTGCATGTCAGTTTGATGAGAAATCTCCATGCGCCATGCAATACGCCAGCTGCAGAATGGTCACCCAAGCAGGAGTGTGGTGACACATCATTTGGCTCCAACATGAGAGGCCTCTGAGAGCCTCATCAGGTGTACAAAAGGGACAGGTCATCCTCTGCAGGGCAATGGGCTCTCCAGACAGCCTGGCCAAGCCAGGGGAGCTGCAGACTGGCAGTGCCGAAGGAACTGGCCAACAAATGAAAACAGCAAGATGCCCAGTGCAAAGACACTTGTCAATGGGAAGGAGCTAGAGTCACCTATCCTTCTCAGAACTCTTTTACTCAGTGAACCCTGGAAAACACTCCCTCCAAGTTTTACCCATCAAGACCCAGTCAATGGCCAAACTTCACTCAAAACAGAAAATGGAAACAGTAAAATATTCCATGTGCTGCATATATGTAAAGCAGGGGTAGGTAGGACTTCTGATGTTGGATTTTACTGTGGTACCCGTGCCGATGATCCCGTAGTTAACGTGACTGACAGCAGGAATTTACAATCTCATTTTCAAGATAAAGCAACCAGACATAAAGAAGCAAATAACTTTGAAACCCAGATGGTCAATATTAGAGCCAAAACCAGAATCCAAGTAGAAAAATACAGATTTACCAAAACTCTCCCCCTGGAATGAGAGCTTGACTTAGGAGTCCAAGCCATCCTAGTGATCCTGAAATGGGCCCCCAAAAGCTGCCATGATCCATCGCATATGTTCCCTTGGCAACCTGAAGTCACCCTCTTCTTTGCTCTGATACCATCTATAATTAATTCATCTATAACTTCTGCTGAAAATTTTCTCTCCTACAGGAAAGGAAACTCTACTAGTGTACATGGAACATATATTTAAAACTATTTGTAGTGTGGATACGTGTATTTTTGAAGAATGAACAGTTATGCAGTCAACAAACCATCCATACCCTGATCCTGATGAGCCCATGCCTTCCTAACCATAGAGTCCAGGGAGCGGGTGTGATTCATCCTGATGGCTGCAAAAATCAAAGGACTGAGCCCACTGGCTAGTGCATAAGGTCCTGGACCACGATGATGCATGACTGAATGACGTTCAGGTCTAGGTCTAGGGTCTGGCTCTAGCCATTCCCTTTATAATCAGCCCCTACTTGTTTCATATGCATGCTATTTTCCAGAGACAGCTGCAAACAGTGGGTATCATCAGCCATTCTAAATCTCCAAGGAAACACATTGAACCTCACAATCAAAAAGGCCTGGGTCACCCGACCTCCAAATGAATCTCTCTAGAACCCTCTTTCCCTGAGCTTTGCATCTCAGAGACAGGAGATGCTTCTTTTGGGCCCATCTAATGTCATGTCTTATCAGATACCAGCTAAAGGGACACTTCTTCTGGCCCCTCGGGCCACTCCCTCAGCAGAACCCCAGTAAGTCTGTAATGTCACACCACCCTCACCCAGGTCCCCAGCCACTTTCAATGGGCAGATGCCAAAACAAGGCACGTAAAGATCTCTCCCACAATGCGAGACTCATGTGCCTGCTCAGAAAGTGGCTTTTCTCCTGAGAAATGCCCACAATTATAGAAAAGGAAAAGCATCTCTCTGAACTCTCTGTCTCTCTCCTATCTTTGAATTCAAGAATTTACTCCAGGTACCTAATGTCTCTCCATCTCGCTTGCCCTCCTTTACATGCCCATCTGCTTTGCACAAAAGAAATAATGCTGGAAAGGAAACCAGCCTAGCACCAGGAAACTGGGGACAATGTGTTATTATGGTATAACAGCTCCTGACATGCTGTTAAGAGTCTCCGTGGCCACCGGACCCTGTCGCCCACATCATCACAATGGGCCGCTCCGGCCATCAGATGTGCCTGCTCCACTGTAGGGCACTGTGCAGGTCTTCTTGGCTGGTGCTTCTTCTGCACTTTCTACGGGTTCAGTAGGATTGGGGGGCGGGGGCAGAGGCATTCAGGAGGGACCCTGCACACATGCACATTTACACACACACACAGTCCCCACCCTATCCACACACAAACACATCACACTCCCCAACCTATGCACACAAGTGCACACACTGCCACATGCTCTACATGTACACAAGCCCCAGTCAACATGCACACACTCAAGCACACTCGCTACACACACATAGCCTCCACCCTACACATACACACTCAAGCTGTACAATTCTGTACACACATCCACAGCCCCCACCTACAACACCCTACCCACACACAACCCCCAGCCTAGATATGTACATTTGCACACAATCCTCACCCTACATGGACACACAATACTCCACACATGACTCCCACTCTACAAATACATACAATCCCCGCCTTACACACATACATTCTATTCCATGTGTATGCTGCACCTTGACCCTCCACACTCACTTACACACAACTACACTGTCACCCTTGGCCATCAGCTCCCAGGAAAACCCAAGTGGCCCTGAAGCTAAGATTGCTCATCAAGCTCTTTCACCCCGAAGCAGCCCTGTGCCCCCTTTGCCATGGTCTCTTCCAACTCTAGAGCCTTCGTCACCCTCATCTGGAGTCCTGAGTAAGCCAGCTCTGAGTTAGAATCTCAGCTCTACCATTCACTAGCCATGTGGCCTTGGCAAAATGACTAAGCATCTCTGAACCTCAGATTCTTCACGTGTTGTCTTGGAGAGGGCACTTCTAAACTCTAGGCTAACATAAAGCCAGTCCCTACCCACGCAGCTAGAACCTTAGTCGTGAGTCCATGAGGCCTCAGACACCTCCTACCAGTCCCTTATGTGGACTCTCCTCATCTCCCCAAAACTCAGCACCTAAAGGGTTAGAGTTGGATCCAAGATGGGCCTCTAGGACCCTGTTATAGCTCCACAGAGGAGCTCACCTGATTGGTCCCTGCCTGTGACAGTCTGGTGTTCGAATAATGAGTAGTAGGTAGGTAGGACAGCCCACAAGGTGATCAGCACACCGGTGGGACATGGGAGTGGTCAAAAGCCACCCAGATAAGGGTTTGTGACCAAGATACAAGACGAGACTTAGGGACCAGAACTCTGTACTCTCAAAGGGAAGATCAGAAGATCCCCTCAAGAGCGGAACTCAGCTCTGGCAGGGTCCCTCGTCCCCAAATGTCCTCACTTTCCTCACGTTATTCTGGGCCCTTGCTGTTCCCAGATCAGCCAGCAGGGGCCGTGGGAAAATCCCCCACCCCAGCTCTCTGCTCTGTGCTCAGTCCATGGGTCCCTCTCTCAATCCCTGTACCTCTCATTAATTCGAACATCGCAGGAGTGAGGAAAGCAGGGCATGGTGCACTGAGAGATCCACCCTTTGCATCACCAGGGGAACAGCAGGATGCAGCTGCAGCACCTGATGGTGCCTCTAAAAACAGCCAGCAGAAAGGCCCACAGACTACCACCTGCCTCCCCACCAACAATCCCAGAGAGTGGTGAGGAGTTGCTGGTTTTTTTTTTTTTCTCCTGCCCCAAGGAGATCAATATGTTGTGCAAAAACAACTCCCTCCAGCAAAGCTCTACTTAACACCTACCTCCATCTGGACCATCCCTCCTATGTTCCCTAATTCACTAATAACTCCTCTCAGAAGCATCATACTGGCTTCACAGTCCTGGGTGGCCTCCTGCCAGGTAGGGCTCAGCCAGGTGGGACAGAGTGGTCACATACATCCTCTGTCTACAGAAGCTCTGGGTTAATGGTCAGAGCCAGAGGGACACATGCCCAGAACCAACTTTCTGGGGGACAAGACACAGCTGGGGGAAAAGGAAGTTAGGCTCCTATCCATAGAAAACCTCCTACTTACTGAGCACCTACTCTGTACCAAGCACCTTGCAAAATGTACCTAACTGAATACTCAGTGTAACATTTAACAAACAAGCGAACTCACATGAAAACTTGATGTCATGAGCCCAGGAGAAAAACAGACCAGGGCTCAGGGCTGTAGCGGCCCCTCTTTTGGGAAAATTAGCACTGTTCAAACAAAAATCTCTTCTAGATAATTTTCATAATGTTCAGTTTCTGTATAACACATTCATGGATAAAAATAATGTTCAGTAGGTCTTTAGGTAAAATAATATTAATATTCATTACAGTGTTGACAGTAGTAAGAGGAATACTAGTAGCTGGAATTCTTTGTGCATTTTAATGACTGCATGGCATTGTGCTGGAGGCTCCATACATTATTTTAGTGTGTAACTTTCAATGTTCCTAGAAAAAATTATGGTTAAGGAGGTATGCTGAAGGTTTAGGTGGAATCACTAAGAGAAAAGAATGTAATCAGGAACCAGCAAAGGAAGAAGATTTAAAACTATTCAACATCAGACAGGAAAGGGAACAGGAAGAGCTGAGAAACTCAAAATGAGAGGAAAAAACTCAAAGAAGTCATTGACTATAATAAACATAAATGGATTAAATTTGCCTACTCAGAGACAGAGATCAGACTGGGCTTCTAAAAATTAAACAAAATTGTGTTATTGTGTGATTATAAGACACATATCTAAAACAATGTTTTAGTAAAAGGCTGACAATAAAGCAGAAAAATATATACCAGAAAAAAATACTAACCAAAAGAAAACTGATATAGCATGTAATTAATATCACTAAGAAGTAATTTTGGTCCTGGAAACAATTCAAGACATATCTGAAATCTATTTTGTATAACAGAAGAACACAGGAAACTAAGGAACAAAAATCAGAATACTTGCTCAAAGTCACACAGGTAGCAGGGCCAAAAAAGAAATCCAAACTCAGGTTTCTATTATTCCACAGCCCATGCGTGGAACCACAACACTCTATTGTTCTAAGAAATGCTACCTTAGGAAATACATAGGGATAAAAAAAAAATACATGTTCCCTAACCAAGGATAGGAGGAAAAGGAAGAATGAAGAATGAGTCATTAAAAAATGTGGAAGAATGAACGGCTGGCCCTCAATTCTGGCAGCATACCTGATGCAGCACCACAGGGAACTCAAAGAAAAGGTCAGTGACTGGGGCTGCTCTTGTTGGCCGTCCTGTCACTGGGATGTAGCACCTCACACCCACAACTTAAAGGAGAAGGGGCTTAATTAGGTGCGTGGTTTCAGATGACTCATCCCATGCTCGGTTCACTCCAAGGCAAGAACAGCATGGAGGAAGGGCATAGTGGGGAAAAGCTGCTCGCTTCATGACAGCCAAGAAGCAGAGCACAGGGAGCACCAGTGAGAGATGTGCCCTCTAAAGGGGTCCCTATTGATTCCCCAGACTGGATCCCACTGACTAACAGGAACTTCTGCTAGTGGACTAATCCACTAATGGGTATAGCAGTCCTGTGACCCAATTACCAAACATCTCTTAATTCGATCAAGTTTACAAGTTTAACCATCACAGAAGTTCTGCCTCAGAACCAGTTATACCACATGTCTGAGAGTGAAGCACTGGTATGTGAAAACCTTCCAAAGTAATCCTAACATCCACTCAGAGTCCAAAACAATTTATCTATACACAAACTGGAGGAAAGGGTTGCTCAAAAAGGGTAGTTTTAGAGCTCCATGGAAAGCAGAACTTAAATGATCCCCCAACTTTATCCTTCTGCTATGGTCTGAATCTTCCCTTAGAATTCATATTTTGAAATCCCACATGAATCGGATTTCCCTGTCCCTTCCACTGTGTGGGGACAGAGTTGAAAAGCGCCACCTGTGAACCAGGAAGCAAGCTCCTGTCAGACACCACCAGCACCTTGATCCTGGCCTCCAGAGCTGTGGGAAATTGATTTCTGTTGTTTATAAGTTACTCCATCTAAGATACCTTTGTTACAACAGCACAAATGCACTAAGATATCTCCCACCTACAATTCAAGAGAGAAATAACTAAAATACGGAGAAACAAGTGACCTCTTCCTCTCATGTTAACAGAAGGCACACTTGGGGCTATCTGACAAGATCCCTGGGCTAACACCCCATTCCTGCTTCTTAAAGAAAGCACAATGAGTCACAAGATCTCAGGGTTGGAGAGAATCTCAAAGGAAGCTTATGATGACTGCAGACTTGGCTGATGGTT